ATGCCAAGAAATTTGGAAGATAGGTACCTGGACAGCTAACTGAAAGAGATCCATATTTGTGCCCATTTCAAAGAAAGGTGGTCTAACAGAATGTGGAAATTACTGAATAGTATCATCACTATAACATGCAAGTAAAACTTTATTGTAGATAATTGAAAAATGGTTGCAGCTGCATATTGACAGGGAACTTCCAGAAATTCAAGCTGGATTCAGAAGAGGACATGGAATGAGAGATATCCTTGTTTATGTCAGATGGAGCTTGGCTGAAAATAAAAAATACCAGAAAGATGTTTACCTGTGTTTTATTGAGTATACAAAGGCATATGACTCTGTGGCTCATAACAAATTATGGATAACATTGCAAATAATGGGAATTCCAGAACACTTAATTGTGCTCATGAGGAAACTGTACGTAGACCAAGAAGTTGTCGTTTGAATAGAACAAGGGGATACTGCACGGATTAGAATCAGGAAGGGTGTGCATCAGGGATATATCCTTTCACCTACTTACTCAATCTGTATGCTGAGCAAATAATCCAAGAAGCTGTACTGTATGAAGAAGAACGTAGCATCAGGATTGGAGGAAGACTCATTAACTACCTACGATATGCAAATGACACAATTTTGCTTACTGAAAGTGAAGAGGACTGGAAGCACTTAACCGATGAAGATCAGAGTCTATAGTCTTTAGTATGAATTACATCTCAACATAAGAAATCAAAAATTCTCAGGGGGGACCAATAAGCAACATCATGATAAATGGAGAAAAGATTGAAGTTGTCAAAGATTTCATTTTACTTGGATCCACATTCAACACCCATTGGAGCAGCAGTCACAAAAGACCTCTTTAAAGTGTTAAAGAGCAAAGATGTCACTTTGAAGACTAAGGTGTGCCTAACTCAAGCCATGGTGTTTTCAGTCACTTCATATGCATGTGAAAGCTGGACTGTGAATAAAGAAGACTGAAGAAGAGTTCATGCCTTTGAATTGAAGCACTGGGAAGAATTCTGAAAATACCATGGACTGTGAGAAGAACAAACAAAACTGTCATGAAAGAAGTGCAGGTGGAATGCTCCTTGGATGTGAGAATGGCCAGACTTTGTCTCCCGTACTTCGGTCATCCTGTCAGAAGGGACCATTCCCTGAAGAATTATATGGAGCTCTGGTGGAGTAGTGCCTAAAACATTTGACTGTTAACCAGAGGGCTGTCGGTTCAAACCCACCAGCCACTCCTCGGAAGGAAGATTGGGCGATCTACTTCCATAGTGATAGTGCCTCGGAAACCCCATTGAGGGGTCGCTGTGAGTCAGCTCGACTTGACAGCAGAATGTTTTTTGTTCTTTTTAGTAATGTACATGGTCAGTGAAAAAGTGGAAATAGATGGATTGACACAGTGGCTGCAGTGATGGGCTCAGGCATAGCAGAGAATGTGAGAATGGGGCAGGACTAGACAATGTTTTGTTCTGTTGTACATAGGGTCGCTATGAGTCGGAGCTGACTCAATGGCACATAACAACAATGACATTAATGGTGGGGTGAGATGATATCTCACTGTTGGCATTTAGTGAGTAGGGCCAGGGATACTGAATAGGCTGCAGTGTATTAGACATCTCAGCACAGTGCAGCACTGTCTCAACCAAATGCAGTTGGTCTCTGTCCATCCAGACCTCTATACCCACTCCTACCCTCAGGAGATAGTGGATTAACGTCACATATACCTTAATTCTGGAAGAGAAGAGGTTATTGGATGACCTGGAAATTATTTCATAGCAACTTTGTTGCACTGACTCAACAGATGGGGCTTAGTAATAACCAGATTGCAAGACAGTAAGTTTCCTAGGCTGAAGAGCTTGAAAAATAACACAGTGAAACCTGCAAGAACTGGAAGTCATAAGACTGCCTTGTTTTTCTGGGTCTTTAAAGTTTCTACCTTTGACAGGGGACCATCAGCCACTGTTCTGTTGTTCTCTATCATTGGATAATATTTGAGTTTTCCTTCTCTGATAAGTTTCGTCTTTATACCGGTTCTGGCTTTCACAGGCTTTACTGTATTTCCATCATAAATATGGTAGTGGAGTGTTTGCTGGGGAAAGGCCATGACTGAATAAAAACCTTATCTACTTGAGGCTGTCATCTTGTCTCCAGTGATGAACTGAATATCAGCATTTTTAGAAGCAAAAACCAAGCCTCCTCCATTAGTATTCAGTGATGGTGCCAGAATGAAAAACAACAATGAAAAAAATTTTCATCATGTAGATGAAAATTTCAGATATTAACGTTTCAAAAATTAAAAATTCCTTTTTTTCCCCCCATGAAAACTATATACTGTACTAAATCATAATTTCTCTATGTTGAGGGCATTAAACTTTTACCTGCACAAGCTGCATGTGTTTCCTGGATGCACTGCCAATAAGAATTATTTCTTTCACTCTTCTGACTAGGCTCAGAATTGGGACGTGCAAGTGGATTCAGCATATATTAACATGCATCTGTTCAAAAGCAGTAATGAAAGTGATAAAGTACTTGATTGAATCCCAAAGTAAGCCATGCACCTGGATCCCAGAGGACCTCATTGTGAGGGAGGCTTTTTCTTGTTTATTTACTCATACTGATCTTTTTACTCCTGGGAAGAGGTTGAGAATAAGCAGAGAAGGCAGTGTTGCCTCATGTGGTTTATTTCGTTCCTGACTCTCTACTAGTGGAAGCTCTGGTGGCATTTTGCCTAAGGCATTTGACTGCTAACCGGAAGGCTGGCAATTCATACCCACTCAGCCACTCCTCAGAAGGAAGACTGGGCAATCTACTTCCATAGAGATACCACCTTGGAAATCCAAGGAGGGGTTGCTAGGAGTCAGAAAATGACTCGATGGTAGTAAGTTTTTTGTTTTTTTTCTTTCTGTGAGTACAGTAGCTTTTTGAGTAACATTCTCCCTCTTGTCTCCATGCTCACTTGTAAGCTCCACAATGGTAGGAATTGTTATCTTTTTTGTTCCAGATGAATCCCCAGTGCTTAGTACAGGCCGTGATACACACCAGGCACCCAGTATCTATGCAGTTAACAAGAAACTTAATGTTTTAATCACCTCCTTTTCATTTTGTTGGGAGTGCTGGTGGCATAGTGCCTAAGGCATTTGACTACTACCCAGAAGGCTGATGTTTCAAGGCTGATGTTTCAAACCACCAGCCACTTCTCAGAAGGAAGATAGACAATCTACTTCTGTAGTGATAGCGCCTCAGAAACCCAGGGAGGAGTCACTATAAGTCGGATCTGACTCGACAGTAATGAGTTTTTTGAGTTTCATTTTGTTGGTGAGGGAGGGATAACTGCCCTAAGGTTATGAGGCTGGTCAAGCACATGACACCTGACACTGGACAAATGAGACTGGCAGCGATTTGGTAGTTCTAGATACTCATAGCTTAGGGGGATGGAGCAGAGAGATGGATGCCACACTGGAGGCACTGCCACACAGATTGCATTTGGAAACAAGTGAACCACGAAGGGCTATGGCAAGCGGTTTTATAGATTCAAGGGGTAGGGTACCCATGGGAAGATGTGATTGGCTTGTTTGAATAATTCCATGGGCTGGCAGGACAGTAAAACGAGCTACTCGGGGATAAGTAAGAACTGCACTGGTCCTTTCTATAAGGAGGGTTGTTTGCCTGTAGGAGCCTATCTGTAGGAGAAGAGTGAGAAGGGAAACTTGTGCTTAGACCATTTGAGACCCTCACTATTTTACCACATGTCAAGACAGCACATAAAACTGAACTTTAAGTTTAGGTCTTGTAACACACTTGAGTATTGTATATATTTGTAATTGCTTAAATAAAATATTCGAGGTTTTTGTTTCATTTTTCAGGAAAAAATAAAACTTTTTATCCCCATAAACAGAATTTACATAACATTTTACCCATTGCCATCAAGTCAATTCCGACTCATAACAACCCTACAGGGTAGAGTATAACAGCCCCATAGGCTTTCTTAGGTTGTAATTTTTATGGAAATAGATAACATAGCCACATCTTTCTCCCATGGAGTGGCTGGTAGGTTCAAACTGCTGATCTTTGGGTTAGCAGCTGAGAGCTTAACCACTGTGCCACCTTTTTACCGCTCTACCTATGGGGAAAGTAGTAGGAAGGAATTGTTAACATAGTGTCAACTACTCTGTTAAAGTTTCAAACAGAAAACTTTCTTCTGTCATAGGCATATTGTTCCTCAGTAAATAACTGTGACCTTTGCTTTTTATTGCCTTTTCTGGTTCTTCTGTTGATTTTGATCCCCTCTTAACTGAAACTAGTTAGAGGGATGGGAAAGATAAAAGTTACATTAGAAAATTCTTTTGGCATTTGAGGGAGGAGAGGTAAAAACCAACAGTGAAAAACAAGATATAGGAACAAATGACATCTGATTTTTGTTTTTTTTATCTATAAACTTTTCTTTGCTTGTTGTTGTTGTTGTTTTTATGTGCCATCGAGTCAGACCCGACTCATAATGACCCCTCCTTAGGTTTCCGAGGCAGTATCATTACGGAAGTAGATTGCCCAACCACCTTCCTTCCGAGGAGTGGCTGGTGGGTTTGAACCACCAGCCTTCTGGTTAGCAGTCAAGTGACCTAATATAGTCCTTATAAAAAGCTGTTGTGGTAACTAAGGCATTTGACTGCTAACCAGAAGGCTGGCAGTTCAAACCCACCAGCCACTCCTCGGAAGAAAGATTGGGCAATCTACTTCTGTAGTGATACCACCTCAGAAACCCAAGTAAAGGTTGCTATGAGTTGGATCCAGCTCAACAGCTGTGAGGTTTTTTTTTTTTTTTTTTTTTTTAATAAGATTGATTAGCCCATTTTTCCATACTGTGGCATATGAAGAGAGAGTCCTTTTATTTGAGTAGCCAGCTCTGTGGGTTACAGTGTGCCGAGCACTAGAGCATTGGTCACTCAGTGTTCCCCTTTGTTCATTGTGATATAGTTGCCCTGATGATGTTTTGTGTGCTTGTTTCTTAGTTTGACATCGACAACAAGATCAAGTTCTAATGCTCTGCAGGGACGATATGCAGCTCCTGAATCAGAGGTAAATTCCTTTCCTTTTCTTGTCTTGCTTCACCTCAGAAGACACATTTTTCATGAAGAAACTTTTTGTGTTTATTTGTATCTTTTTTGATTTGATTCTGTGATCCTATTTTTGTCCTGGGAAAGGAAGAGTGAGATTATTTTAAGAGAAAAAGAAATGTTGTCCTATACTATGGAAATCAGTTCTTGATTCTCCTCCAACAAAATTGGCTTCTTGCGCGGCATCCTGCTGCCCACCTCTCTTTGAAGGCTTGGGCATATCTTCTCAAGCTGCACCCTACTTCTCTTCTCTGACATTGGTGTGGTTTTTCAGTTGAAGTCCATTCATCTGTTTTATACTCAACTGTACCCTACACAACGTGACTATAAGATTATGTGGTAACTGTTCTAAAGGAAAAGAGAAAGCCGGGGAAGAGAAGGGAACTGGCATCTACTCAGTTTCTGCTCTGCTGGACATTGTGCTGAACATTTTATTAACTATACAACAATCCCAGTAAGTAGGCATCTCCTCAAGTAAAGAATTTTGAACAATAAATAACTTGGTTTCAGGCTTGTGATGCTTTTTACCTGTATATAAAAAGAGTTGGAGTGATCAGCAGCTGCCTGTTGGTCAACAAAATGTCTGTTATTTTCTTAGTTGATCAGAGTTCTTCTTCTGGGACTGTGGAACATCTGGAGTCTCTGGGTAGTATAAATGGTTAATGTGTTGTTGTTGTTGTTGTTGTTATATGCCATCGAGTCAGATCCAACTCATAGTGACTCCTTCGGTTTCCAAGGCACTATCACTATGGAAGTAGATTGCCCCATCTTACTTTCGAGGAGTGGCTGGTGGGTTTGAACCAACAGCCTTCTGGTTAGCAGTCAAGTGACTTAGGCACTACGCTAGCAGAGCTCCTAATGGTTAATGTACTCACTGCTAACTGATAGGTTGGTGGTTCGAGTCCACGCAGAGGTGCCTCAGAAGAAAGACCTGGTGGGAAAAAAAAAGAAAAGAAAAGAAAGACCTGGTGATTTACTTTTGAAAAATCAGCCTTTGAAAAACCCCATGGAGCACAGTTCTTCTCTGACACATGTGGGGTTGCCATGAATTGGAATCCACTCTAGGCAGCTGGTTTCTTGCTTGTTTATGGAACATAAGCTAAAGACCTTGTCCAGTGGAGGCAGCCAATAAAAGACTCAGTGCTGGCCCTAAGACAGAAAGAATTAGGGGTTCCAATGAAGACCCGAACCTTAGACTTGCCATGTGCCAGGCACTGTTCTAAGCTCTACATATGTAATTTTGTTTAGTTCTCATAAAACCCAGTGAGGTGCTATTATTGTCTTCATTTTACAGAGCGGGAAAGCAGAAATGCTAAGTTACTTAAACCCTGCAGGTTTTCTTCTGCCTGGATCTAAACTATACACTCTGGCTACAAGTCTGTGTTCTTAGTCACTGAAGCCTAAGAGCTCAGCTGCCAGGGTCTCCTGGTCTTTTCTGCTGACCCTGCCTGGCATCCAGCCACTGCCTACATTCTCATGGCTTTCTCTGGACGGAGGCACCGTTTGTTACCTGTCCACATAGCGGCACTTTACTGTGCATCTGGGTCTCTGGGAATGGTCTTTCCTACACCTCACCTGGAGATAGTTAACTATCACTCTGCCAGTATCGTTCACCAGCTCTTTCTGTCACTTAAGAAAGGAGAAAGGAGAAAATTGCTGACTTTGAATAGGATACTGGCTATTCCAGAGTAGTCTCCAGAGGGCAGCATCTTGTTCTCACCACTGACTGGGTGACCACCTGCTGAGATTGTATGGCTACAGTTTCAATATCCCTATTGTATATAGAGTTCAAGCTCAAAGAACAGCAAGTCTCTAAATTAGATTTAAGAGTGAGAAGTGAGGATGTTTTTCTTCTTCTCATTCCCAGGAAAAACACCCCAGTGTTTCTTTCTGAACTGGAGAGTATGCAGAAAAGAAAGTGGCTTACCCTCCTTGCATAACATTTCACAAGATACACCTTTGAAAGAGAGAGTTAATCGTTTCCCATGGTAGCTTTAAAAAGAAATAGAACCTCAGTGCTTGATGTCTTGGACCATTGAATGAGATTAGTGAATTTTAGACAGTGTCATCTGATCTAAGGTTCTGTCAGGGCTACTACCTCTATTACAAGTGTGTTTGCCATGCAGGGTAGAAACACAGGCTTTCCTGGCAGTGCCTAAATGGGATGAAGGCTCAAGCTCCTACAGCCTCTCTGTGATTTGTAATGCAAATATCTTCAGCCAGAAGGTACCAAGTATCCAACACTTTCCTAACTATCTTAACATATTTAGTGTTTCCCGCCTCATTTACCAGAGTCTTGGAAGCATGTGTAGGTTTTTCATAACCTGATATTTTTAATTACATTTGTTGTCTTGGGTAGGTAAGAAACATGGTATGAAATGCCAAAGGTACCAAAGAGTCTTGAGTGGAAGGTCACCCATCCACCCCATCCCAGGCAGTACTCACATCTGTTCCCAGAAGGCGGCCAGTATAGCCCCTGATTTTAATAGAAAATCTGACTAGGCCTCCTGCTTGCACCTCTCTTGGCTTTTACCATTTCAGAGTCTGTCAGTTCCATCATCTCCCAGATATCACATGTCACCTGTATGTATTATAGATCATGGACTTTGGAGCTGCCATTCTGCATTTGTATACCAGCTTTCACTAAGCTACTTTTGTGAGCTCAGGCCAGTTATTTAACCTGCCTGACCTAAATTTCCTCAGTTGTAACGAGGATAAGAATCTCAGCCTTGTAGATTTGAGAGGACTTAATGAAATAGCACATAAAGCAGAGCACCAGAAGGTGAGCTCCACGACAGTGGGGAACTTGTCTTGCTTACTTCTGGTTGCAGGTCGAGGCCTCCAGAAGTAGAGATTGATGTGCAGGGCTGTATTAGGGATCAATATCCATGTCCAAGGAAGGAAGGGAAAAGAGGCAGGATTGGGCAGAGATTTGGCACTGAAGGGCAGTGCAGGGTGAACAAAGTCACCACCAACCCCGTGGGATGCTCTGGAATGTAGATGGCTCATCAGAGTTGTCCGCAGGTAGTCAGAATGGCTTGGATGTGGGTTGCCAAAGAAGGACTTGATCTAGGGTGAGAAAGTTCCCTGCAGTTGAAGGAAAGCCTAAGGAGCTGACATCTGGAAGCTGAGTGCTGATAGCACTCTCAGTAATGTAAGTGAGCAACAAGTCCTTCCTTGCAAGGGGATGTGGATGGCACATTCGCACATTCTTCATATTTCCTATCACCAGCACCCAGAGCAGTGCCAGGGCAAGGCATAAACCAAAAAACCAAACTCACTGCCATCGAGGTGGATCCAACTCATAGTGACCCCTCCTCGGGTTTCCGAGGGGTATCACTACGGAAGTAGATTGCCCAACCTTCCTTCCAAGGAGTGGCTGGTGGGTTTGAATCACCAGCCTTCTGGTTAGCAGTCATATGCCTTTGGCACTACGCTATCAGTGCTCCGGGTCCAAGGCATATGCTCAGTAAAAGCACTGAAAGAGTGAAATATGCAGTTCAGTTAGGTGAAGGTTTGGCATATAGGAATCTTTTCTTTTTTTTTTTTAATTGTGATTTGGGTGAAGATTTACAGAGCAGATTCACTTTCCGTACAGCAGTTCACATACACTTTGTCTCATGACATTGACCACAGTTTACCACAATGCAACAGCTCCCTTGCCACTTCCTCCCCATAGTTACCTCTTCCTGGTGTCCATCCCTCCATGTACTCCTGCCCCCTGAGCTGTCTCCTGTGCATAAGCAGCCCTTCTTTCTCCCATGATTGTTCTCTCTAAGGAGTGTATCTACCTCAGGTACATGTTCAACTCATATGCCTGTCTTTTATTTGGCTGGAAGCCACAGGTGTGGGTTAAATTCCAGACTTGAAGGGCAGCTAGGGACCATAGTCTCAGTAGTTCCACCAGGCTCTATCAGACCAGCAAACTTGTATGGGTACTTATATGTATGGGTACTTATACATATGTATTTTGAAAGCATAATGATGTTTTGTAGCTTATGGGATGTGAGATGATTATAGAAATATACAGAACATCAGCATCATAGCAGCATGGAAGCCACCACAGTGTGGCAAACTGACAGACAGATTAATTAATGTGGAGATAGAAAAGCCAAAAACAAGCTACCTGACTTTGTTGCTCTTGTCTTCACAGGTAGCTCGGTGTTGTTTTTGCTTTGATCCCAGTGGAGAGGGTAAGTAGCGAACTTGTGTGCATATGTCTGGACATGTGTGGCTCTGTGGACCTAGAGCTATGCTCTGCAGGCATTTGGGATTGAGGCGCAGATAACTTGAATGGTAGAGAAAAAATTTTATTCCCAAACTGGTTTACTGTTTATATTCTTTTCACATTCTTTTACAAAAGTTGCTGCATTTGGTTTGTTTGTGTTGATATTCTGACGGGAATATCAGTCTATATTTTGTCTAATGTTTGAAGTAAATTATACAGTGTGATTTAGAAAAGCTGAAAGTACATTTACTAAGGAATGATTTGGAACATACCAGGAGATCCTGACATCTAACTTTTTGACCATTTCATTCCTTTTCTTTTCAAATTGTGATTTGGGTGAAAGTTGCAGAGCAATTGGTTTTCCATGCAGTAATCCATACACATTCGTTTTGTGACATTGAGTGCAATCCCCATGCTTTAACAGCATTCTTCCCGTTTCCTCCCTGAGCCCAGTACTTCCCATCATCCTTCCTTCCAGTCCTCTCCTGCCTTCCTAGCTTTATCCCTGGGCAAATGCTGTCCTCTTGATTTCGTATGTTTGATTGTTCTAGTGAGTGCATACCCTCAGGTGTTACTGTTCACCTTACAGGGCTGTCTATTGTTTCTGCTGAAAGTTGAGTCATGGGGGTTAAGTTTAGTTCTTAGCTTGAAAGGATGTCTAAGGGCTATAGTCTTGGGGTCTCCACACCAGTCTTCTTTGGACCACTAAGCCAGGTCTTTTTTATGATTTTGAGTGTTGTGTCACATTTTGTCTCACTCTTTCTGGGACCTCCTATTGTGATCTCTTTCAGAGTGATCAGCAGTGATAGCTGAGCACCATCTAGTTCTTCTGGTCTTAGGTTCATGGAGGATGGGATCCACACGATTCATTAATTCTTTGGACTAATTATATCCTTGAGTTTTTTTTAAATTGTTGTTTTCAATCTTCATTGTTCTGGATGGGAAGAGACCAGTAGTTGTACCTTAGAGGACCACTCACAAGCTTTTTTTTATTTTAATCATTGAATAGTTTTTTTTTTTTTCTATTGTGATTTGAGTGAAAGTTTACAGAGCAAATTCACTTTCCATACAGCAGTTCACACACACATTGTCTCATGACATTGACTACAGTTTACCCCAATGCAACAGCTCCCCTCCCACTT